AGCTCCCCTACTGTAAACGTGTAGACTACTGAAGACAGAGTGAACTGATTTGCGCATAGGGTTATAAGTCGTGAAACCCCGCAACAGTGTTAACAAACTAATGCGATTAGGGTTATAAAGTGTGAAACCCCGCAACTGTGTGATAAGTAATTGTAGCCGTTATTTGTAGATTGTTAAATAAACCAATTAACCATCTCTACGGCGTCTTCAGTAACGAAACACGTTACACTGGTGTCAGAAGTGGGATCAGTAACGCAAAACACGTTACAATATATATAGCACATGTATGAAGATTTGTGAAAACACAATATTTCTGTTTCACTGTATGTACCTCATGTTCCCCTACAGCAAAGTTGATTCCTACTGCATGCTGAAAACACAATCTACTTAGTCTCCTATGACACAATGATCTAAATCACTCCATGATAATGATGCACCCTCATGATGCATTACAGTTTCTGAACTCAGTTGTTATATGTGTATGTCAGCCTCAAGGCAGGAATTCATGGCAGGCTACTTTTGCCCTAAGTTTTATGGTTTTTGAGATACATAAAAGTGACTTCTATACCATGTCATCTCATAACTCAAGAACTGTTAGAATGACTATAATCACCATTTATGAAAGAGGATCAACAGTTAGTAATCACATATTTTAAATCTAGAGGTAATAACACAGAGAATGGACCACACATATTACATAATACATATATTTCCTAACTTGCTTTCTTTCTTCCCCCACCCCCTCTCCAAGAATGGACTCAGAACACAAGCATGAGAATGAGAACATTTTCCTGTTCTTTCATTAATACTCTGACATGTGAAACTTAGTAACTGATCATGTAGTTTGACATCCCATATACTGAATATGTTGTGCTTTCAAAAGCTATTTTGTCCACAAAATGTCTCATGAGCAAAACTAAAGGATGAAGAACGCATTTGAAAAGTTAGTTGGAAACAAATGACTACATGCAAAAAAAAATGAAAAAAAAAAAAATAAATCTCATTCTCCATATGAAATATGGAAGGATATGAAAACCTGAAATTTATTATGACTTTTCAATATATATTTATTACCTTCTCCTCCATCTTCTGCAACACAATGAATTGCTATAGGAATCACATCTCGGTCTGGATTGTACGTTAATTCTTCCTCCAAGTACTGACTTGGATCAAAAGTATGAGATACCTGGCAGAACTGTTGATTTGCCCCACGTTTATAATGATATGTTTCAGAGTTCATACATGGATCACGAGGTGTGTACCTGAAATAACTTATACATGTTCAGAGTGTTGTCTTCTGGGTTATGATACCTTATAGGTAGTTACTAATGTTCTGAGGGGAACCTTTGCCTCCATCTTCTGTCCTGGCGATGAAGGCAAAAGGTTCCTCTGAAACACTGGTAACCACATACCCAACAACATTGTATCATAACCAAGCATACTAACAAATCACAACTGTAAAAATCTTAAATATCACATAACCATGTACTTGTAAAAGATAGTTACATTACCTTGAGAAATCATTTTACCTAGAGTTTAAGTACATAAATCAATCCATCTATTCAATGCTGTTGCTGCTGCTACTGCTGCAGCAGCTACCACCACCACTGCTGCCACTACTACTATTTTGTTGAAGTTATATATTACTTTAAATTACATACTGTATTATTAATATTAATTCATTCATCCTACAGCTGAACATGCAACTGATGAAGGCTGCAGGATGTCACAAATATAAAAGTATTTATAGTATTTGAAATAACAGAATTAAATAAAGCAGAACATTACACACAAGAGTACAATCTATAAGACAGAATAAGACAAATCATAAAACTATTTATTAAATTACATAGTACACAATCAGAAAGAAAGTAAATATTTAATGAAGAGTACAAAAATACTGCTACAAGTAATTATGTGTAATTATTATATAGAATATCCTGGTAAACACTGAAACAAAATTCAAGACATTGTTAATAATGCAAATTAGAGCCAAAATGTCTTATAAACATGTAGCTGACTCGCAAGTGTTACTGGGGCAATTTGTGAAGATCAGAGGTAACCTGGTAAGTAAAGTTGTCCCTCTTCTTAATTAATTCAGCACTATCAGATGAAGACTGATGGGGATTATAAAAATCACAGCTTGTAACAATTTGCTCATTATTACAGCATTGAAGCTTATGTACATGCTGCTGGTAGTCAGAGCCAATTTCTTGTATCTTAAGTTGATACAATCACCCTCTTCTTTTACATACAAAACTGTTTTTTGCACATAGGAAAAATAGAGTTAATAATTTGAGGCCCATAAAACGTTCTCTATAGGAGTATACTTTCTTAGTCCTGGAATATATCACACTGCCTTCATTTTCAGTATACACTAACCACCAGACTAAATGAAAGAGTGTCCAATTTGTGGGCAGTGTTAAAAAGAAGACCCTGGATTTTCCACATTTACCAGTGTCTTTCAGGTACTTAATGGAGATGATGTAATTCCACCTGAAGACATTGCTCCTGAGAAAAGTCCTTTGTTAAAATATGACATCTTGTGATGTGGAAAAATCCTTTACAGTCCACAAATACATTCTATCAGATAAAACACAAACAATGACCCAAGAAAATATGGAAAACATTTTAATTGTGTATTGTGCATCAAGAAATCAATGATTGTTCCAAAAGACTGTAAATAAAGGTTGTTTGCAGTACTAAATATTACTTTTATGTGATGTTACATATTTGACTACATATCACAGAGGTTTGTGTTACATAATTATGTATTTAATTATGTAATTATTTTGTATGACAATACTACATGAAAAATGTAGCTATAGTAGTAACACATGGAAAGCAACTACATGACATCATTAAAAAGAGATGTGCACAATCCCACAGCCACTTCTGCAGCAACTCTGTGCAGAAAAATAGTTAAATAAAACCCAGTACATGTCAGACATTATCATAAATATATCTTAACACTGATAATATTATATGCATAATTTGATTACAGATATTCTAGGCTTTATATATAACAGAAAATGTATAACAGCAAACAACTGCCACCTGCAATCATTCAGTTTTACATTCTCATACAGCATATACAATAAAATGAAACATCTACTCACACTACTCCATTTGCTGTGAAATCCTCTGTGCAGAAATAACAGATAGTGATGGCACACCGAGCATCGCAGTCAAATGTGAATTCAATGTTGAACTGAGTAGATTTAGCAGCTTCTATATCATTTTCACCACACTTATTGACACTTTCTGGCGATCGAACAAATCTCAGTGATTCCTTTCGGATGTTAACAAGGCTTTTCAATGTCTTTGTTGGCTCATTGGCCTGTGGTGGAGGATATGGGAACTAAAAATGAAATGTTTAAAAAAAAATGTATTCAATATCCTATACAGAAGAGTTAGATTACCTTGAACTTACATCTGCTTAAAAATTATAACACTAGGGCTGCCAACTCCCACACATACTAATCTATAGGTTAATAATATTGTCACATGTTTGGAATGAAGCGACGAAAGAATGAGACGATGGAATAAACAACTACTGGACCATGGAAGTGCACGGGGCGAGCACTCTGGATGAAGGGGGGCGGGTGGAAGGAAGTCAAACACCAAAGGAAAAGCGGAGGTACCGCTCAGAAGACGAACACTGCGGAAATGGAAGAAAGAGGATGTTCGGGGATGAACAACCGTTAGAAGGGAGCAATGTCACATGTTTGGAATCCAGAAGGGTTACTTCCATGGAAACGCTAGAACAGACCGTTGCATAGGAAGTAACAATAGAAGTATCGTAATGCTAACAGTGAGTCTACATGGTTACAACAGAAGGTTCACTGCGTTGCAACGGCTGCAGATATATAAGAAGGTAATGTATTCGCCGAGATAGAGTGGAAGCAGTAGTTGTGACACTGCAAGTGATAATAATTGTAAAGTGTGTGAGTGTAGAGGCGAAGCACAATAAATATCTGCTACTTCCTTGATGGCGTGAAGTTATTTATCACATGACATACCCAACGCGTCACAATATTTTATCATCTACAGAAGTTATTTAGCATAAAACAAGATGAGGATGATTACCTGGGATGAAATGTAAAGAAATGTGGAAGTAATCACAGACTTTTTAAAACAATGATAAATCTTAGAACAGTTGGTGGTCCATTGAAGATTCACATCAGATCTTCCTGATCACAAATCTGAACCATTTTTTATTGTTTCTTTCATGAATGAAAGCTGGAAGCCTGAATGTGATTCTGGAGTAAGGGCCCAGAATGAAATCTATTTTCCAGATACTCTGTTTATAGCTTTGGCACCATACTGTAAAAACACACCAAACAACACTTTTGTGTTTAGGACTGCTAGGCTTGGACTTGCATGGCAGCTGCGAAACTATGGCACTACAAAAGGTTCAAGCATACTTCAGCATACTGTCACGTGTTTGGGTGACTTATAAGATGGGTTTTGGGTTGGATTTATTGTGAACTGTACATTTGACAGTTCAGCACTGCAAGCAATACAGCTCTACTGCTATTCTACACACTTTCCAGTTCACTGTAGCACACACCCTGCGGTTCCCAGTCCTCACTAGTCATATCCTGGCAACAGGTTTATCACAGTCTCACTGTGATCCTCAAACACATAACCTGGAATAAAGTCTGCAGCATTAAACAAAGCTCAAATTTAGTGAATCTGTATGAGGGTGCACAAGGACATATATTGCAATTTTGTTCTCTTTATCGTTCATGAACTAATCGTGTTTTCACCACACACAGTATTAAAGATCTGCTTAAAATGGGTGCATGGATAATGCATAAGCAGTTCCACATTCTTACCAGTCTCTTTGTCACATTATGTTGATGTTGATAGTCTGTACTTCAACAGACTGGGATAATCAGTATTTCTGTATTATTATTAAATGCTCAACAGTTACAAAGAATGCTGGCAGTTGACAGCCCTTAGGTATGGTACGAAAAATGTCTTACTGGGGTCGGCCTACTTCCTAGGAAGTTCAGATCAGCATTTTCTCCAAACAAGTAGGCTTCTGGCTGTGGAGTATCAAACCTCTCTCCGCCCATAATGAAATGGCTACCAAAATAATTTCCTAAATAGAAAGAAATGGTTATGAGTTACAATTAATGCTAATACTTACAAGAAAACTGCATACAAACTCTTCACAAACCTGATCTAGGTGGATACTTATAAGCATGATTTGATACAATATCGACTTCTTCTATTCCAGCATGCTGTCTGCTTGTTAAGGCTCCCATATTAAAAAGTCATGTACGGTAGATACGGATAAAACAAACTAAAATCTACGAAACAAAGACACATTACAATTCCCTATTCTCCATACACCAATCAGCATTGTCAATGCTGCTAACCTTAAAATTTCAAAATCACGTATTTCCGGTAGTCAACACCGGTCAACGCGATGTTGGCAGCAGAACAATCAGCTGTGTTATGGAATAACGAATAAATGGTATGGATTCCGGGGAACAGAATTGTGCTGCATTACCTTCACAGTTGACAGTTGATGACGTTGATGTAGAATTTTTACCGCTTATATATGAGATAATTAGGAGGTATGAATCATAACCATATGTGTACAGAAGATCGAAATGCGAATTATGCATGCCTATGAACTTTGAAATACCCGGTTAGGTTGCTATGTGGTACTTAATTGCAACAGTTTTATTTATAGACTGCAATGTTCCGAATTAGCTCATTAGGGAACATGTTTATTTCTGTGTAAGCAGGTTACAACGAACTGGTATTGTGGACAGCATAGTATCAATGTGAAAATGATTATTTCAGCGTTGAACGAGATCCACATGATTCAAGTCAGAAAACTAGGGAGTCCCAGGATACAAGTCAGAAAGTATTAGAGCTTCAGAAAAAGCTTGATCAAGCACGTAATCAGGTATTGTGATTTTATACTGTTATCCAGTATGTGAATCTTTGTAGTAGTGTAAGATGGCCCATCCCCATTTTCTAGCCAACCATTTTATGTCATTTGTTGTGGTCAGGATTATGGATAGAGGAGACAGCCTCCAGATGCAGAGTGTACCCATGACTATATTGAGTAACCAGCCTCTGAAGGGGTTGCCTTTCATCATGGGGGTTTGAGTGTAAGGCAAAAAAATCCACCACTATAAAAAGTGCTACAAAATTTATCAGTGCCTCAGTTACATGGAGTCTTTGGACTGACCCATGCAACATTTGAAGGTCATGAAAATTTGTAAAAAGAATATTAAGTTACCTAAGATAGGGGTTTGTGAACTGTTGGTTACAGATTTACAACTAAGTAGAATCAATTTATATGTGATGGAATATGGGAAGGGAAAGGATAGCATTTATACAATTTAAAAGGGAACAAAGACTGTAGTTTCTGAATGAGTATTTTATGGAATAAGTTTTATGAGCCCATTTGCTCTTCAATCACAAAGGATCAAGACATACAAGTTTTGGTCTCCATGAAGAAAAACTTTATTTAAAAAGAAAATATTTGAACCTGTGATGGATGATTTAAGTGAGTGTGAGAAACTGTGATTCATACATGTTACCTAGTACTGGTAGGGTAGTGGGTTGAACAAATAGCTCAGATGGGGAGACAAATCTGCATACAGAATTTCAGTAGAGGAAATTTGAGAGCAATCAACAGGAAGGTAATTAGGGAGGTTTAATGGTGGGAGATGGTGGAATGGTTTAGGATTGCATCCATTGGTGACCATTTGTATTACTGATATTCAACATTAGATTCTACTATTAGAGTTAATCAATCTAAATCAATTTCAGAAGTGAAAGGAATAGGGAGATTTGTAATGCTATTAAAATCATTTAGATAGCTCTGTGATAAAATACAGGTTATAAATCAGAAAATAGACCTTTAGAATGATCCCATGTAGTTATACTGCATTTAAGTGTCCTGACCTTGCCAGCACAAGCCTGAACTGCAGAATCTGTATTTCTTTTGCATGACTCCTTGAGTGGTATGTGATGCACATACTCCTTTTTCATAGATAACCATAATTTTATTACTCTGTATTGTAGCATCTTTACATATGACTGAAATGCTTATCTTAATAATATTTGAAGAAACCACCATTATAGCAAGTGTCACGTAACTTCGAACAAGGCCAAAAGTAACCTTGAATGTGCAGAAGAAAAATTCCAGGCAAAGGGGGTGGAGGGTGTGAGAAGTGACAGGCGGCCAGTGGAAGAACGAGTGTTAACAAACTCCTCCCACCAAAAGGTATGCACGGGATTTGATTAGGAATGTGAGGCCTTGTTTGAAGTTACGTGATACTGTCTATAATTTTAGCTTTGATTTTACTATAGCTTGAAACAAAAAACTGATACTCTTTAACTTCTTTGACAATTGTATACAGCATATACACTGCTTCAACTTATGTAATCCAATAGGCATACCTAATGTGTTGTTCAATGGCAATGGTTAAATAAAAAGCACATTAACTCAGAACATTATTATAAACATTGTGAAGACAGCAGCACAATTAAATATTAGTTTAAATAGTTAAATTTTAGTTTGCGTATAAGAAGTACAGGGTGATTCTAATTATTGTTGTGGTTTCTGTTTCATGAATATAAGTACCACACTGTTGAATAATAGAATGCTTTTATGAATAGTTTCCAAAGTTTCCTTTTAGAGGAAGTTGTTTCTAATTTGTTTTGTGCAACTGTGAAGTTTGTTATAAAAATGACAACCTGCAATAATGAACTTACTATTACAAAATATGACTTTATTACCAGCAGATAGTGTATGGTCTACTGATATGTGGGTTTTCCCCCATTTCATAATATCACCGTGCATTAGTCAATTTGTACTATATTTCAAGCAACTTCAAATATCTTCAATGCAGATTCACAGACTTCCTGGTGTGGAATACAGCAAGGAAGAGCAACTTCAGAAACTTGAAACATTGAGAAAGCAGCTGCAATTAAAGAAAGACCTTTTGCTAAAGTATAGACACATGTGTACTTTTGACATTCCAAAATCTTAAATCAATAAGGTATGTAAGTTTCTTTTTGAGCTGTATTTTATATTCAGTGAGAACTATATCTGCTATGATTGGTTGGATGTGACATTAGGTGGGCTGAAACCCATGCATACAACAGCAAAATTAACTTTTCGAAGTTTTCCTTCAGAAAACAACTTTTTCTTTTAAGCTTATCCACTATCATGATTGTCTGAGACAGCATGACAACTGGATTCTGTGAATGTTCACTTTTTGTGCTTGTATGATACTGGTATTTACTAAATAAACTATTTGACCTCACAGTGACTGCAATGGTTCTGCGTTTCTTGTTCCGTTATCTGGCCAATAATGAACAGATAGTAAGTCGGTTGGCTGAATCCTATCCAGTCCGCCGTGCTGCTCAGCTTGTGGTGTATCTCTTCTCACGTGGCCAGCAGGCAGCTTCAGATCCACGGCTAAGTGCTGAAAGACTGAGATCATTTACAGCCAGGCTCAGAGCTGAGCTTCAGAACGCTCAGAAGGAGATAACACAGGCCAGCAAAGAATTCAAGAAACACCAGCAGAAGTAATATCAATTTACCATGAAATAAATGTATTCAGAGTAAAATGTTTATTGATATGACATGTGGCAACTCCAATTTCAAGTATTGGATGAAAACTTTATAGAATATTTTACATGGTGTTAACATGCTAATAGTGAACAAAGAATATTCAGCATTATGAATCTCTGTGTCTTGTATTTTCAAATGATAAAATGTGTCGTTGAAATGTATACAAAATTATATTAGTCGTGGAATTTCATAATATCTATAAGTGCTTCTGCATATTTTAAAGTACAGATGGACTTTCCTTAATTGTATCTGTCAAAAGCTTGTGATCAAGATGATTGCTGGTGGGAAGAATTATTCAGTGATATTCATTGGTAATGATCAGATGCCTACAAGAGCTGTAGGTAATGGGTGTAATGTCAGCAAGTTAGCCACAAACAGGTCACTGTTACATTCTATAAAACTTAATTTCATGGTGCCTCCTGCACATCTGCCACATCGAATTTTTGTATCACTAGTTCCTCCCTTCTTCGGTGAACAATACAGACATGTATATGTCGACTTATTGGGTCCAAGTATTGCTTTACTTCTAATGGCAGGTATCTTACATTATGGTCATGTCTCAAAGCTGCCTTCAGCTGCTTCAAATACAACACCTACCGAGGTGCTACTTCTCTATGCTGTGTTGATGCCAGTAGCAGTATATGTCCTCAGTTGGCTTTGTCATGCTGCAGTATCACTTACTCAGATGATAGCCTTGCTAGGATATGCTATGTTTGGACATGTCTTCACTCTTGCTATATCATTGTTATTTAATCAAGAAGAGAGCAATGCTTTCTTCTTCTTTTTCTTAGTTATATTTGGTGGGCTGAGTGCTCTTAGGGTTGCACTGGTCTTGCTAGCATTGATCATATCACCTGCAGCACGTCTTATTGTATGTAGTCTTGTAGCTACAGTACACCTTCTGTCTTTAGTGTTTCTTCATTTTGCTTACATGCACAAAACATTTGTATATGGAGCAGCTGATTTAATAGACAGAGATGTGTAATTCCCCTTTTACATGTATTCTGGGTGTGCACACCATTGTAGAGCTGAGAGAGATTTGCACATAACGAACTCAGTGCCAAGAAGCCAGTTCCGGTTTTTCCATGTCATCCTTATTCTGCAAAGGAGGAACGTGCTGACATTCTGCTTCTCTGCAGGCCTAAAAACATTATAGTACCAATCTGAGTTGTGAAAAGAATGCCAGCTGCAGTCTGATAGACCAGTTCTTACAGCAGTCACTGTGAAGAATACTTCACTGTTAACAGCTAGAACAAATCTGTAACAATCAAAACAATGTTACATTGCATCACAATATAAATGTTGATATGTGTTCAGTTAAATGTTTGCTTTTGCTGAGGCTTGTAAAAACATGCTTGTGACATACATAAACTGTGATCATTTAGTGAGAAGTCATAAAATCCTCATCACATGAGACTGGTGAAAGAAAACTGTTGTGTGTGCATGAAATTTCTTTTTATGTCTCAAAGAAGGAAAAAAGTATGTCCAATAAAATGCAGAGATACTGTGTTAGATTCCATGATGGAACAGGTTGGCAAGGCAAGCAGTTCCCTTGGAAGTCAGTGCAGGGTGTCTGAGAAGTGAAGCTGAAAGTTAACTAGTACATTCATTGATAAGTACACAGAGTTAATGCAGAGAAACCCAGCTGATAAACAGTAATTGCCTGCGTAAGTGAGGGCACCAGGTGACTTCTAATAGGAGACTAATCTGTTCCACACATGGACACAGGTTGCCTCTAGTAATTTAGGGGTAGCAGTTGCTAGTTATTTATACAGATTTGAGAGTGATGCTGACTTTAAAGATGTTTCTCAAATAAATGTTACAAATAGTTACAAAATAATGGTCTTTTATGGACCTTTACACATCTCAGTACTGGGTCATTGTGTATACAAACCTTGACTTGTTGCTGTCACATTAGCCAGAGGGAATGTAGCTTCAAATAATATTCTGTTTCTGTAAGTTAAGTTGTTTACAGCTAAGGGTTTGAAATAACAGCAAGAGAGTACTGATTACAAAACTGTTACAAAGTGAAACAATAAATTTATCCTAAACCTCTTCCTGTATGAATATCAAACCAATACATATGTAATGGTTAATTAATGTATAATGATTATACACACAACTGTAGTTGCATCCACAATGGAAAATAAATTTGAAATGACATTTGTGTTCCAAAAGCATACGGTGAATAAGGAACAACAGGAAATTTGTTTCTTGTGCTCATCAGTTTTCAGCCCAAGTGATAGTGCAACAAGGGAAATGACTATGCATCATGACAATGATTAAGCATTTTCAAAGTAAAGAATATGTTATATTTCAGCATCCTGTTACACTCACACAATATAGGGCATGTACCCTGAAAAATTTTAATTTGAAAAAGAAAGAGAACAAAGATCTTAGACATTTTAACTTGAATTAAGGTTTAAAAAGTGCTAATTTAAAAATCAAATCGACGCGTGTAGATTAACAAAGATTTTATACAATTAAAAAGACTGGGATTTTTACATTTTTAACAAGCAGTGTAACAGTTACGTGAGTGATACACACCTGATGATGGCCATTTAGGGCCGAAACATGTAGTGTGGAGGAGGAAAAAGAAGTAAAAACTACAATAAAATTGTTGCACTTAAGACGGTATTTGTCCATATATATAAAGAATATGTATTATTAGTCTGTAGTAGTGCTGGATATGACGCTAGAAGCGAAACTGCCTAAGAACATAGGTTGGCTCACTTGGTAAATAAAATTTAATTGAATCAGAAGTGCATTAATTCATTGTTTCTGTTTCATAACAAGATTATTTACATGCGTGTCTATGCCTTCAAAATGTCAATATGAATTTATTCTAGCCCAGTACATACTATTTGCATACACAGTCAAGCATACTTCATTACCAAGTAGTTACTATAGGATTCTGACGATGGTGTATAACACACTGATATATTGGGTTTTTGGACTTTATCCATCGTCCTGGTTTTTAAGATAACTAATAAAAGCACGACATTTCTGAAGCTGAGCTAGCCTCAATCACTGGAGGTCCAGTGATTGAGGCTAGCTCTCTCTAACGGACCCAACAGAATAGGTGTTTTCCTTCACCTGAGGACGGAAACAAATCCAGCTTCAGAAACGTCGTGCTTTTATTAGTTATCTTAAAAACCAGGACGATGGATAAAGTCCAAAAACCCAATATATCAGTATACTTCATTATCGTATGAATGATAACAGGGTGGTTAAGTCAGGAATATGTCTTGTCTTTTGGTAGTCATTTTAAGCCAGAAAAATGTTGCAAGTAGCAGCAGTAGTAGTTCAGCATTGCATTAACAATAAATTTAGATTTGGTCACAAGCACTTCTATATAAAATGCATGAATAGCATTCATCACTAAATGAAAGGTGTTGCAGATGTGCATGAAGACTTCATAATTCTGCAACTAAATAAGAGGCAGTCTGTACTCATGCTTGTGTGTTTAAGCACAGAAAATATTGTCGCCCAAAATCTGTTTGCATTATTGTTACCTGTCTAATAATATATAATAATTGGATGTAATGTGTGTTCTAATCAGTCCAACATGGTTGATGGTATTTGATTTTAATGTGTTATATATCTGGCTTACAACAGACTCCCTATTTCCTCACATAACATTACAGACCTTACAGCTGGAACAGCTCATTATAGTGATAGGATATGGGCTGGATAACCAAGGTTTGATTTCAAACAGGTGCAAAATTCTTCTCCTCCACAACGTCCACACTGGCTCTGGGGCCCAACAGCCTCCTATCCAAGGGTACGAGGGACTCTTTTCTCTGGGGACAAAATGGTGGGGTTGTGAAGCTGACTACGAATACTTACATCCATATAGCGCTGAGGTCAAGAATGGTGGAGCTATACCTCTACTCCCAGATATACGATCGAGTGTCCCAGGTGGTAAGATCAATGTTCTGGGAGGTCATAGTGTCTGTCATTCTAAGCAAAGAGGTGTATATGTACATACGTCCTATTCCAAATGGTTTCCCAGATACAGTTACTTCACTGTACAGTTCCAAAATTGTTTATAAAAAAGAGGTGCCACATACTGTTTCTAATACAAGTATTTACTGATCAAATGATAAAGTTGGTATACTTTACTTGGTATAATACATTTTCAAAAATTCCACATTCAACATCAATGCACTTTGCAACTCATGTGAGGACATGGCATGCTACTCATCTGTGCAGTGAAATAGCTCTATCTGGAAACCAATCTGAATAATGCATATGTATATATACACTTTTTATACTTAGAACGACCAATACTATGACCTTTCAGAATATTGACCTTTCCTCTTTGGACACCTGTATATATACTAGTATTTACATTAATGCAATGGGATGCTTAAGTACAATATTAGAATTCAGAATTACTAGGTTGTTGGACTTTGTCCATCATCCAGTATTCTAGAAACTAGAAAATGCAGCGTTTCAGAAACTGTATCTGTTTCTGTACTCCAGTGAGGGGGAGAAAATGCCTACTCAGTTGGATCCCTTAGAAAGAGCTAACAAGTGGTTAAGTTTAGCTCTTCCTTACGGACCCAACTGAATAGGTGTCTTCCCCCTCACCTGAGGATGGAAACATCCAGTTTCCATAACGTGTTTTCTAGTTTCTAGAATATGAAATGATGGATGAAGTCCAAAAACCCAGTAATTCTGAGTGTTATAAACCACTGTGAGAAAATTTTAGAATCTATGAGAACATAACTGTTTTAGTGTCATACCCTATATTAGATTCATGCAAGTTTTTTCTACTAGTGTAAAGTTTCATAACAATTGTTTTGACAATCTTTTATGTAAATTTATTGACTTTAAACCATTTGTTCCAACTAGCAAAGGCATTATTCATGTAACTGTTAAAATACTAGCTTTATAGGTACAAAATAATATTACTATCATCAAGATAAGGGCCACGCCATAGCTCAAGCATTTAGTCGCTGGCTTCCCACTGTGGTGGCCTGGGTGTGGTCAAGTGGGATTTCTGGCGCTGGGGCAGGTTTTCTCCGAGTACTTCGGTTTCCCCTGCCAAACTTCATTCCACCAACTGCTCCACAATCACCCTCACCTATCATCTGGGGCTGGTACAATAGGCCACAGTACAAGGAACTTAGTCCCACCACAATAGCAACAAAAAGTCAAAATATATGGTTGCAGGAAGATCTATTTGAAGTGACTATAACAACCAATATTACAGAGATCACAACATACTTTTCCAGTCATTTGAATTATTGCTGCTGCTGCTGTTGGCAGTAAAACCCTTTGTGGGTCTTGACCTGCTCTTAACAATTTTCACCAGCCATCCAACCCTAGTGCCTTTGTTTTCAGGTTAACCATACCCAAGTTCCCCAAATCCTTCTCTGCACCATTCATCCTATATGTCTCAAGTTAAAAATTTGGTCACTTGTTAATTTACCGACTGTGAATCCATACTGACATTTTCCTAGTTCCCCGAAAATGGCCACCGAGAAAATCTTACATCCCATATTTGCAAATGTACTACATTCCAAATAAAAAGCCTTATCTCAACAGTACTTGAAATCGCTTTCAAAGAAATGTTCGCTGCACAAATACTTATTACACAGCATTTTTGCAGAATCATTGTTGTAGGTTCTGCTTCTCCTGCCCACACCATAGCACTGTGAGTGCTGTCATATTGGATTACAATGGAACAATAATTCAATTAACAGTTACAACCATAATGGTGTAGAATTTTGAGGTTATGTCCAACAAACTTAACATGCCTAAATTGAACCCCACTGCATTGCTATAAATTGACTATGAATAGGGTAATAGAACAAAATACTTGCTTGTCTGGCAATTTGTAAAAGCTTTGACTATTACAGTAATTTATATTGTTGTTATAGGTTCAGTTGTAATTATAAAATGCAATCCTATAAGCCTATATAAATACACTGATGCATGTTTCTTCGAGCAAGATGTAGGTACCTTGAATGAAATGACATCCAATCGCATTTCTTCGGGATTCTAACTTGCTTACATTTATTGCATAAGACAGCCGAGAAACTGTCATATTAAATGACCATTTCACCGCGCTGTACTTGATTTCAAACCTACTGTCTAACTTGACTGGGGACCGATGGGGTCTGCACGGTTACTTCGAAGTTTGTATGTGTGCGTGCGCGCACGTGCGTACACTGAAGATTACATACATATTGAAATGTCCCTGAAGAAAGCATAAAAAACATACACATACTGTCACGTCCGAACAATTTTAACTACTTACAATAGCATATCAGACAGAAAACGAACCTCCCACCTGCCCCACCCATCCACCACAACCACCGACAACCACTGAGTTTCTAGCTCCTGGCAGCATCCGTGCTAGGAAATGCCTACTCTGGTCATGACCCAATAACAGCAAAATGCATTATATAAATGAGAAATTAACACATACTGTTCCGGCGTGGTGTTATTTTATTACACACACACTTTTATGGGAGTTCCGTCGTTTAAGGCAGAATATAGTGTCACGCGCGAGTTTTGACACTAAATTGTGCAACCTATTTTCGATGGTCCCTAGACGGGATACCTCATTGAACTCTCAGATATTTTCGTCCGTAATGTTGCCTACGTAAAGTTATGAAGTACGCTGGTTTCAACATAAACTCATGCGTCTGAACGTAATGAATGTTGTTTGCAACAAATGTGGGAGCACGAGTCAGTACGGTTAGAGGTGAAAGAATGTGAGCTATAGGCATTTTATAAAGTAACCAGCAAAAATGGAAACGTAAGTAATATGTTTCATTACACAAGACCTAAGCAGTAACTGTCCCTCTTAAAAGTTCTGGAAGCGGGTTTATGGAGAATACGAAGCAGAAACAATATATGCCGCAGCGAACTGAATCGGATATCATAAAATTTGAAAGAAGTTTATGAACGATGTGTAGCTCGTCGAACATAATTCATTATAAGTAGATTCTGAAGGGTTCTGACGATGGTGGATGACACAGAATTTTTGGGCTTTTGGACTTTTTCCATCGTCCGGAATGCTCGGTAATAGAGGACACGACTTTTCGGAAACTAGATCTGTGACCGTCTTCAGGTGAGAAAGTAAGACACCTCTGTCCAGTGATTGAGATTAGCTGTTTCTAAGGGCCCCAACTGAATAGGTGTCTGGGGGTGGAACTAAAATTTTTGCTGTTTGAAGAATACTTGAAGAGTACTGTTTTCTGGGATACAATGCCATGTAGTTGTTGAAACTCAACCAATGTTTCAGAGGGACATATTGCCTCCATCTTCAGGGTCAAATAATTCGACCAAGATACCAGCGTGAAAGTGGCCTGCCACCTGCTTTGCAGGCAATGTGTGTACATAGGTCAGAGTTAAAATGTATTTTACTTTTGCCCTATAAACATGTATTGCCTACATATAATATTAATACAAGACCTGTTTGACTAGTGCCCTGTACAGTAGAAAAGTACATTTTATGAGTTTTGCCCAGAACTGTCTTATATTATTTTAATGCACAGACTATTCTCCGAGTGTTTCATCAAAAATGCCACCCTTTGCAGTTGAGTGGCAGTTAAGCCCATTAATCAATCAGCTTTGAGTATTAAGTATTTGTATTTCATTCATTTCAGAATAAATGCTAATGCAGCAATCCTGAGCAATTTTGAGGTATGTGAATTTCTTTCTGACCTGAAGTGAAATTAATTTGTACACTGTCTATTTGGATGGCTTAAGTCATATCTTTTAATAGGTACTCACTCTACTTCAAGAACTTCGAAGTCAACAGAAACGAAGCAATACTGGGAGCCAACTTGCTACCATTACTTATGAGGTATGTTTTGAAGTACTATATATAATCTGGTAGAAGCCAAATTTATCTTCACTATGCCTACTACGGATTTGTTTTTCATATTTCAGACAATCCGGTACCTTCAAGACACTCAGTGCAGTCAACTGTCAGCAGAAATCATCCACAACTTTTTAAAAGCAGTGGAACCATTCAAGTTAATGAAAGCAGAGAAGGTTATGTTACTTAACAATCCTCCAACAACCCAACTGGAAATTCAGCTTGTATGTATACATTCTACTAGTTATACTCATTCATGAAATTTCAAGTTAATGTTATTTGAGTTCTGTGATGAGTACAACATGTCACTGGAAGGCACCCCAAAACATTAACTTTGTATCACATGTAACATTAGCAAAAGTTAGTGTAGGATTTTTAAATTTTGTATTGCAGTATATCTCTAAATCTCTTTGCTGTGCAGCTAGTGTTCTTAGTTTTGTCCTAACGGTTCTTCCTTGCTGAAATTACAGGATTCAGTTCAGACTTTGCATCCTTACTGTGTGGGTTTACTTCATACTTTTATATAATTATACCCTTCTGCCATCTTTTGAGAATAGTTTGATTGTATTTACTTTCTACTTTTATGTATTTAGTGCTCTTGCCACAGCTGAGGTTTGATTCCTGGCAGGGGCAAGATATTTCTCTCTTCTGCATAGCATCCAGACTGATTCTGGGAGCCATCCAGCCTATCCAGTGGGTAACAGGAGCACCTTTCACAAGGGTGAAGCAGCCCCACTCCCTCATACATTTTCATGGCATGGGCTTAATTAAGCACAGGGAGAAGTTTGCCCTTATGCTGCTATCCTTGCGAACAGAACTATCAATCTGCTGCATCATATCAGTAGTGATTTCTTTTTAATGCATATGTTTCAGAATCTTACAAGGATATACACGTAGATTCAGATGTCAGATGTAGGGATGGTAACAGTAAATCTAAGATACTTTATGTGTCTGGGCAACAAATGTCAATTGCAGAAAATAAATCATTAGTAGGAGTCACCACAGAACTTACCAACATGAAAGGTTTTAAAAATAGCAATCTTTGTTAAGGCCATTTGTATGTCTACCATATTCTTGCCTAATTTACTTGTTTACCTTAGTATCACTAATGCAATTACAGTAATTTTCAATAATGTAACCTTAGGACTTACCTAGATATGAACAAATTTACTGTCCAACTGTTTTTCAGCATACACTGTAATTAAATAAATTGTATGTTTCAGATGGTGGAAGAAAGTGAAGAAAGATTAACAGATGAGCAAGTTGAACAGCTTCTGCAGATTGTAGTTGACTGTAAACTTGTACAACCTCGTGCCATTCTGTGACTCCAAAGTTACAAATGAATTTGAATGTCCCATCAAAATAAGGGTTCTACAGACAGTATAATATTCGAAAAGATTCTTCTAATACAATTCAATTCAATAAAAAAGAAGCATAATACCTGTATGTGTGGCATGAAGTATAGCTTAAATGCGCTTTTGGCTTCAGTTTATTTGGTAAAGACGTCTTTCAAACTGTACATTGATTAATGTTGTTAATTTGTCACTTCAAAATAAATTATTGAGTTATAATATTCATGAACCTCATAACAAGGTAATGTTTTGCTTCATAAACCATTCTTACTTAACAGCTGATAACTGCTGTTGGGAGGAGGCCCCAACATTGACTTGAGCTCCCCTTCTTCCCATAATAGAACCAAGAGTACACCTAAAAACAATGTTATCTCTTTTGGTCTCCAAGATCTTCAATAGAATCTTCATCAATCTGCAAGAAACAAAATGATTCATCACAGGATGCTCTCATAAGAGTGAAAAACTGTGCAACAATTTTGAAATTACATACTGAACCAAATGCTCCATACAACAATCCTGTGTGCTCGGACAGTGGTTATGTGGCTGAAATTTTAACCAGGTACTTTCAAAATACAAGTATTTTGGCTGGGAGTAATGGAATATAAGTATAAAACATAAAACTACCACTGAGAGAAAAACAATAACAGCAACATACTATCAGCAGTTTGAGAAATGGCTATTAGCTTCTTACAACCCACACATGCACACAAAGCTTTCCTTCTAAATGATTTCAAGACTTGGGATGTAGATACATGTCCAGGAGAGACTGGGACTATAGTTAAGTCCTCACTTAATGGCTTAGTTAACGTTTTTTTCATTATTACATCATACAGTTTCCATACTAAGTCTCCATATATCATGTTAACTCATTACTATGCCATTCTTTGACTCAGTTTAAGAAAATAGTCAAAGAGGAGGGTCACTAACCAAACATGTGTTTAATGACAAGACTGGGCCATCAGTAAATACAGTATACCATACTAAATGTTAAATAAACATTGAACCTGCCATGCTGCTTACAAGATCTCAGTTGATAAAACAAAGTGTATTTATTTCTTAAAGAGAGAGAGTAGTAGTAGTAGTAGTTTCATCAGAAACCTGATATGCATCACAAGTCCTCAGTGTGTTATTTCCTGCATTTGTTCTGTTGTATTCAGCCCTGGCATGAAATGTATTTTTAAACGCCCACAGGTATTTAAATAAATTGTCTTCTTTCTCCCACTTTTCACATATTTAGTAAAACTGCCATATTAACTGTGGTGTTACTCTACTGGAATGAAAAGCAGGCAAATTTACTTACTCTGTAACTTTCCTGTGAATTTGAAATTGCATTCTACATTTTGTTTCTCTCCCCTCTGACAAACATACCGTAACATAATGGCTGAAAGCCAGAAGAGTAGAGCAAGAAGCAGCAGCCAGTGCTATACAATGACATATAGACAACTACGAAATGGTATTTTCTATGCAGACCGTCCAGGGGCTATATAGTGACCAATGGAACAAGCCAGTTGCAGTTGAGAGTCAGTCACAGCTAGGTCAAGAGTTAGTTGCGGTGATGAGTGAGTTGTGAGAGGGTAGCCAGTTGGCAATTATGAGTACAGAAGCTGAGGTATACCCATTGTTAGCAGCCACTAAGTAGCAATGCCTGGTGAAGACATAGAAGCCTTTATGTTCGGAGTATTGATTTGTAGTGTGTACATCTGTGAAACTGTTATTGTGGTTAAGAATTGTTAGTGTTCAATAATCCAATTATTGAGCCAAACCTCGTGTCTTAGTCACTAACAAGAGAGAATGTCACCTCTGCCACTTTTCTTACATGGTGTCTCATCAGGCCGATTTATGATTAGTAAGCATATCAACATATCACATAATTATGACTCCCCCATCTTCATTTTTAAAATTCCAACTTTCTGAATTCAATAGGTTATTTTCTTTCTGATCACAGTTCTACAAGCACACATCTTTCTTTTATGAGCATTCTAATCAACCTTGTACTCAAGATACCACTGTAATGATGTGGTGCGATTTCACGGTATTTCAGTGGAACCTCTCCTACCACAGATACATTTGATCTTTTGCTTCTTTTGTTCCTTTGCAAATATGGAACTACAGTTAAGTAACCATTCATACTAACACTAACTCCTTAAGCCTTAAATCCCTATGTTGTCAGTTTCCCAAGAAATATAGAAGATCAAGTGTTTAACAGTTCTATCAACTACATAAGGTTTTACATCCTTGATTTCTAGACCGCCTCTGTGGGCTAGTGGCCAGAGATCCTGAGGTCCGGGTTCGATTCCCAGTGCTATCAGATTTTCTGAGAAGTAGTGGGTCTGGAATGGGGTCCACTCAGCCTCGTGAGGATAACTGAGTAGCTATTTCAAGGAAATACCAGCTCGTCTAGAAAACTGAAATTAACAGCCATGGGGATCCGTTGCACTGACCACGTGACACCCTCTATCCCCTAAAGTTGACACTAACTTCGCGCAACAAGTAACAGTTACTCAGTCAGTATAGTTCGCTTGCGGACTACAGGCCATGGAGTTTGCTTTTTTGTTTGTTGATTTCTAGAAGCTGTATGCTTCACAGGGTTAACAATGTTACATTTTCTTACCTCAGGCCATTTTTCTGGAATGATGTCAAATAGCTCATCTTTAACATCACCTTGGATTACAATCTCGTCATCACCTGTTACTGATGACCCACATGCAAACTTGGTTCCAAAGAACTTGGATGCCACTTTAAGATCGATATCTGAAAAGTATATCAATATTCCAAAATGTTAAATGATTCTAGCAGCCCCTTCCTGGTGTTATTTAATTGCACTGTAACCTCATGTTAGCAGACAAATTATCTCTTATCACTACTGAAAATTTCAACCAATTTCCTGGGTCAGAAATTTCTACCTTTACAAAAATGACTCTAACAACATGTAAAATTTGTTGACATTTTATCTGAATTTCATTGTCAAGAACATCTAGAAGGAATTTTTCCCTATATCTTACTGACATTCTTACAGAATTTTATATAAATTATGTATCAATGAAAGAAGGGCAGCTGACACTATAAAATCGTGACTATGCACTGTGCAAATTAAAGCTGGAAATTCTACGGTTAAATTGCCCTTTTCAGTGTCATATACAGGTAATCATTTTATTTACAGCCTACTGCATCAGACATGACAAACAATTAAAATTATGAATCTCACCACAGACAAAGCATGCAGCAAGACATATTAAAAGGAATACAATAACAATGTGAAAAGCAGTTTGATTTGTATGTACTTATACTTACTCATGCAGCTGAGCCCTTCTCGAGGAGCCGCCAATTCTGCAGCTACTCAAGAATTTCCCAGCATTTTATGGAACCCGAAGGTTCATTATCATGTTCACATGAGGCCTCCACTGGTCCCTATCCTAAGCCAGATCAATCCAATCCATACCATCCCATCCTGTCTCTCTAAGATCAATTTTAATATTGTCCACCCACCTACACCTTAGTCTTCACAGTGGTCTCTTTCCATCTGGCTTTCCCACCAATATCCTATATGCATTCCTCTTCTCCCTCATTCATGCTACATGCCATACCCACCTCATCCTCCTTGACTTGATCATTCTAATTATACCTGGAGAAGAGTATAAGTTATGAAGATCCTCATTATGCAGTTTTCTCCAACCTCCTGTAACTTCATCTCTCTTCGGTCCAAATAGCCTTCTCAAACACCCTCAGTCTACGTTCCTCCCTTAATGTCAGAGACCAAGTTTCACAACCATACAGAACCACAGGAAAAATTATAGTTTTGTATATTCTAATTTTTATGTTTTTGGACAGCAGACGAGAAGACAAAAGTTTCTGGAATGAATGGCAGCAAGCATTAGCCAAGTTCAATCTGCTCCTAATTTCCTCCTCAATGTGGTTTTGATTTGTTATCGTCATTTCTAAATATCTGAACTGTGCCATATTTTCAAACATCTGTTACCTATCTTGATGACATGATTTTGCCCTGCAACATATACATAGTTTTCTCTGTGTTTACATCTAGACCAGCCTCCTTACTTTACTAAGAGAAACTATTCTGATATGTAACACTCACCAAATGTGCTAAGTCCTGTTACAACAGTGACGGACTTCTTTTTGCCCCGCGGAGCCCGTGATACGCACACTTGTTTAGGACCATCTTCCTTCTTGCGTGCTTTCATGATACCCTTTCCACCACGCTTTTGTCGCTTCTTTTCCTCTTCACCTCCTCCTCCTTCTCCATCTTCTTTCTCTCCTACAGAATGCATCATTAACCATGATCAAGAATGGCTATCACACAGATCAAATGATACAATGACAGAAATTAAAAGCAACACTAATTTTAAAATTTATGAGTATTCCACTTTATTATGACACAAAATACAAACCATAGCTTTTAAAATTCAATTTGTTGTACTTTAATTATTATACCATTATTCAATAATGCTGGCATCACACATCATCCATAAATGATCCACATCAGCAAATACTTTATATTCTATATGTCAGAGAAGGAGAAATTTCACACAACACCCTGTTGTTACTGTTAACCCTCTGCAGTGCCATTTAAATACCACCATGGCTCTCTACTGGTCAATTTAAATACCGTTAAACTATATAATTTTAACTACTATTATGAACTGGTTTGTTCTTCTTTATAACTCATATAAAGAGAAGAAACTTTGCTAAGTGTAATGAAAATCACAATCCCTACTGTTTGAATACTGACTGTGAAACACTTTTCATGGACTGTACCACTGTCACTAGTTAAATGTATAATGAATGGGCCTTTGTTTGCTATTGTTCAGCAAAGAATAAAACCATGACCATGTCACTGGAAATGAGTATGGAAACATCTAAACGTCTCATATAGCAAGTGTCATATAATTTCAAACAAGGCCACGAGTAACCTTGAATGCGCAGAAGAAAAATTTCAGACAAGGGGATGGGTTCGAGGGTGTGAGAAGTGACAGGCGGCCAGTTTGTAACGCACCCTTGATTACACTCTTTATCTCACTAGTTCAGAACTGCATTTGCCTATCTGGAATTCCAACCCTAGGAGGGGGAGAGACATGAAGATCCAAATCTCTCTCTTCCTTGATAATATGTCCTTGTAGAACTGTGAAAAGTCAAGCCACTGTTCAGAGAAAAAGTCCTTGAAAGAACACCTCATACATCTTGCCATTGAAATGCCATTAGGCCTTCGGTTGTGATGTCTTCCTGCCTGACCCAATTCAAAAGTTTTTTCAAAGACATAGCTTCATTCTTTTATTTACTTATATACCTACTGGTTTCAGCAGCTATTTCTTCAAACAAAGTTGCAGTAATAGAGTGGAAAAAAAATTCACGTGGAGAAACAGCCATTTGTCTGCTTCAGGGTGGTTTATAACCAGATGAGGCATGAAATGATATCTTACAGAAATCATGGTCATTTTCATTATCATTGTCTCTTGTCACTGTCTTCATACAGAAGGTGAAATACAATTGGCTTCTGACCTGCTCGATAACAAGTGATAAACATGGATCTTCAATTATGACTGAAACTAATCATTAGCCATCACAATTGAAAGCTCATTTCTCGCCACGACTGAAATAAGAATGCCAAATGTGTTGTGCAGCCAAACTGACACTGGCTGTTTTCACTGATTAGGGAGGTCCTAGGCACAGTCGGTACACTCGATAGAATCAATCTATTAACAAAATTTTATTTATATATTGAAATATTTCTATTATGCAGTACCATAAACAGATACATAAGTCAGAATCCTGAGAATAGCAAATTCACCATAGCATAGAAATGAGTATCAGGAATCTTCTTAGGGGTAAAGGATGGCTGGCGCCTATGGCTCACAACCTCATCACCATCTGTGAGCTGTCTAGAAAATGTGGGCACCTCAACTTCTCACAACCCTATAGGCCTCCACCGCCTGTTACAGGGATAGTTAGTTAGTTATTGGAGAGGGTGGGTTACCCCATGCACCGCGACCAGTTTGATCTATTGTGCTTCCCTCTATGATATTCTACCAGTCTCTATGCCCTACCGATATTGGTGTGTACCATCAGTCCCGACCGAGCCAGCGAATTCTCTACTGGCTTGGCGGTATCTATAATGCTTTCCCCATCTATCAGAGGTATTAGAGACTACTGTTGGGCGGGAAACGTCCTTGAATTTGGCTCAGTGACCTCCTTTGGAGATATGAGGTTCTTTTACATGCCGTAAAGCTACGACACGGGACCAACGGCTTAAAGTCCCTCCCAGAGGACTTGTTCCCTGAATTTTTCCGCCCCTAAAAATTCCATGACCTCCGCCGGGTTTGAACCCGCGTACCACGAGTCATGAGGTGGGAACGTTACCTCTAGACCACGGAGGCCGCTTGTTACAGGGATAGCTTTACCTTTTAAAAGAGGGGCATGTGATAGCGAAGTTGGCTGAAGCAGTATGTTACAAGCTGGAAGGTTGCAGGTTTGATTCACGATGAGGCCACTGGATTTTTCAATTGACCTAATTTAAATTGAAAATCCTCCTTCTGACACCTATAAATGGAGATGCATAATGCCTAAGTTAATTAAAAAAATGTTAATATTAACTGATAAATATGGACAGCATACTTACCCAGTTTCATAACCCTCTCAAATTCTGTAGGCATATTTCGTTCTAACCATAGCTTGCATTTTTCATATTCTGGGTAGTATTCACAATACTGCAATGAGCAAGCAGAAATATTATTCCAAAGATACGCACATATAAGTGCAAGTTTCAATCATCCAGCAAGATCTCTTTATGATACTCACCTCTATTGGCAAAGAACAATTGCCACAATATAATACTCGTATGGGATAAGTTATGCCAGGTTGTGGCCCAAGAGGAAAACCATTCTGCAAATCGGTCATTCTTTCCTGATATCAACTGTAAAGGAATTTTACATTAATAACACTATAGGTTTGAACGGCTGCTGTACTGCGATGTGGAAAGCAAATGGAAAAACTACCATATTATCACTTTTCCTGGATAGTCTCTTTCCAAAAACAGAGATACCATGTATGCGAGATGTTTCCTCTGGAGGCAAAACAATCTGGAGGTAAACTACTCCCCCAATCGGATCTCCGGGGGGGGAGTGTTTCTAGAGGAAATGTCATGCAGGCGTTACAACAAGAAAAAGTGCGAAGATCAGAAGGAACATCATGGCTACAAGATTGGAACATGGAATGTAAGGACCTTGAATCAAGCAGGCAAATTGGAGAATTTGGAAACGGAAATGGAGAAGAATGAGGTGTCTGTTCTAGGTGTCAGCGAAGTGCGAGGGAAAGGACAAGGCGAAATAAGAAGTGGTGATTATACGGTGTATTATTCTGGAGGTGAACAGGCTGAAAGAGGTGTGGCAATATTGGTGCATAAAAGTGTAGTGAAGAGTGTTAAGAAGATTGCTTGTAATGACAGAATTATTGCTCTGAAGTTAAAGGCGGAACCGGTAGATATACTGATTATGCAAGTGTACATGCCAACATCAGAGTATGAAGATGATGAAGTGGAAAAAGTGTATGACACAATTGAAGAAATTCTTCAGGAAGATGGAAGAGGAGACACAANTATCTATGGATAAAGATGTACAATATATTCCACTTAAAAATTAAATGATTCACAAACAGAAGACAATTTAAAGAGTTCCTATTGAATCATAGTTTATATTCCACGTTTTTTTTACTTAGGAACAATTAACATGTTATTAATACTGTATGCACAAACGTAAATGCATTCCATAGATCCTGCTAAACAATGAGCAGGGCTAATCAGAGCACAATATATAACATTCATAAAATATCAATAAATACAATACAGTTACAAAACGGGCACAAAATACATTACAATATGCTTACACACATTATTTATACTATTAACCCTTCAAAGCACTTTCCCCATGGCGTAAAGTGACCCGGGTGTAAAGCTGGCCACTCACCTCCAGCTAGTGCCCAGGTCAGGAAAACGTGGCAGTAATATAATCGACATGAAATGGGGCGGGCATTTCACCAGTTTACCTGCAAGCACTATGATCTAGTGGGTATTCACCTCAAAACGCGAAAGAACACACTAAAACTAACCTTATGCGTAAATGTTCCTAGCTGTCCAAACCGGTCCAAGCAATTACAGTTACAACCACGGATTTAAAATTATAAATAAGCAACGCAAACCTTCGCACACGTTATTAAACATGTACTAACAACATATACGATTCTAGCTCTAGAATTACTTGAATTAGCTCACATCATTTCAATCATTCTCCGAATGCTCGTAATTCTCGTATGACGTCGCCCAGTCGCCCAGACCAGCGTTAGTCTAAACGGTCTGAACCAATCACAATACAAGTCATACATTAACGCTATTGGTTGAAGTACTGAACGGTGGGTGGGGGCACACCGAGGAAACTTGCAACCGCAACGCAACCGCCATTTCCGATAAATATCGCCGATTTCAAGCAGGCAATTGGTTTCCACACTAGTAGGCGCACACTGAGGAAACTTACGCTTGAATAGTTGCTCACGCCATTTTACGTGGAAATGTTCGTCCGACTTAATGCATGATTGTATTCTTTACTTTTGTGCATTTACCTTCTGCAATGGAAGAAAATAATACTGATCCTGTCATAATATGGTGGTAGTTGACACTGTTGGCAGTGACATCATTCAGATTCAGTTACTTTCCTGCCTTATGTTGGGTCAATATTCAACCACATCTCAACAGGGTGCTGTCTTGACACAATATAAAGCCTGTGGGTCTCCTTCCAGAACAATATCTAGTTTCCTTTGGTCGGTCAAGGACGACCTGAGACTGAAGATGCCAGAAATATACAGCATACCCTGGGCAGAGAGGCTGTTCAATTGGCACCAGGCTGAGGGAGCACCAGTGACATTTCAGTCTAGAATATTTGGACCATTCAGCTGTGGCACAGCACAGTATCAACTTGGGGCGCTGTATCAAGCTATATAACACTGCCATCTTCTCCACCAAACCCAGATACATGGATCGCATTATCAGGGAGGCAATTGAGATTGAGCTTTGTTAGGTACCTTAGAAAGAGCCCACCTCAATCACTGGACCTACTGGTTAGCTCCTTCCAAGGAACCCAACAGAGTAGGTGTCTCCCCCCTCACCCAAGGATGGAAACAGATCCAGTTTCCAAAATGTGTTTTCTAGAGTCAGAATACTTAATGATGGACAAAGTCCAAAAACTCAGTAATTCTTAATATAATTTGACTCTCCAGTACATTTTCATGATGCTTAATTGAGCCTAGGGCCATCTATTCCTCTATCTTTCCTTTACACCAGGCATGTCCAACGTGTCGATCGCGGGACGTTTTTTGGTTGATCTCATAGGCCTATAAAGAAATTATACATGAAAAGCATGTAAATTCACTTGTAACATAATATGAATATATTCAGATTTTGGAGGGAAAATATGTGTTAAAGTAGTCAGTACTTTCAATACAACAAACATCATGTGTCATGTTATTTTTACAAACATTTTTGCTTAAAGCGAGGTATGATGATAGGAGGGGGTGGTAATCACTGGCAGTTTTGACACTAAAAAGTCAATCACAACCTGTTTGAAGTTGGACATGCCTGCTTTACCCTATCATGTTGTCGTCATTCTCATAATCATTCCTTAAAAAACTTGCCCCAGTGCCACTGTCAACCCTAAATCCCACATGAACTTACTTCAGAGTGAGCACAGGCTGTATACAATGAGAAGCCAGTAACTAACTGCTTGAACTTTTGCACAGCCTTACACTATTACTGAATTGGTAGTCTTTACCTGTTAACTGCAATGTGGGACAGCTTCCCAATAGAAGAAATCCAAATCCACTACTCAGATTGTGATCTGAATTGTAAAACTATGCACCCTTGTAGGTGGATACCAACATTTCAGACGACCTTGTTGCCTTCATCTTCAGGTTACAGAGAGTAGAGATGATGTGGTCAGGTTCTATGGGAAGAGTGGAGTCAGCATGTGGCACATTGAAACTCCATGAGACAGAACCCTATCCAGGCCAAAAGGAATATGAACACAAAGGTGCTGAGTCTCTTCCTTTTTCATATTTTGTGCTGAGCTCAATCTGTACTGCTTCCCTTAGGACCTCAGTCAGTCCATGCATCTACATTTCTTGACCACGATACTAGTGACACTAAAAAGAATGTGATGACCAAAGCTCACAATGTGTTCAGATGCAATTGACTTCCATAGATGGTAAAGCCACATAAGCCAATAGTGTTCTTGTATCCTGGCCTCAATGAACATCTGAATTGTTAGGTGTTTGCCTTCCCACACTCACAGGGGTTCTGCATATGCCTAATGTCTTCTGGGCAAGGTTACCTTTATTCAGCATAATGTGGAAGTAAAAAGAAAAATCATAAGGAAATAGGTAAGGAATGGGTAAATGAAATATTCACATTCCCATCTGAGAACATGAATTTATTTCAACAGGATTTTCACACTTGCACAATTACATTCATTACTTTTCACATGTAAATCATTTCTTATTTGATTACTGTGGCAAAGTCCAATATGTGCTTCAGTCACAGAACAACTTCATCATGAATATGAAGATGGAATTTGAACTTTGCCTTGTGTCACTTCTTCCCCATATCAGTAACTTACTGAAATTACTATGGATGAGAAAATGTACATAAAATAACACAGAAATATTCACAATGTTCTCTAACCATATACCTTTATCATTACAAGATGGCGTCTATAAGAGGAAGGAGAAATCAAATGGACCAGGTACACCATTTACTTCATCAATGAACATAAAGATACCTGGAAAAGAGATTAAAAACAAATGCCTGAAACAAAATTATCACTTGTTCTGTCATCAACAGCTTTAGTACTAACACTGGTGTTTGGCTACTGGCTAAGAAATATTTAAAACATGAAGATTATAGCCTTCTATGATGTGACACTGTAGTTTCATAGATGGGTACCAGTGTTTTGGAGAAAGTTGCTGACACCATCTTCAGATCTCATTCTACCCTAAGGATGGAAGACAGCAAGTTCTTCTGAAACACTGGTAACTATCCACCAAACTACAATGTATAACACTCCAAAAGACAGTGATCTTTATAGTCACAGCCACGTGAATCTTAAATGTCATATATATATAAAACATGCCTCCTATGTATGACATATTTTCATACAATAATGGGATCTTCTGAGGCAATAAATGTCCAACATCCAGTGTCTAAACTACAAGACATACTGTTACTGCTGCCTACTCTCTCTCAGATGCATTCAGCCACTGCATCCATACCGAACAAGTGACAAGACTAGCACAGGAGCACTGGTTAATGAACACTGAGGTAGCAAGTCATTCCTATGCATCATCATAGTCCGCCCAGATGTTGCTGTTTACTGTTATCAAGTCGCTTGAACAATGGAAGATCCCTGTCTGAGTCACCTGAATCACTTGAGGGAGCAGAATCAGCAGGAGACAATTCATCAGTGGAATCCTGTTCCTTCTCTCGCTTCTTTGGTGGCACTGATGATCGATCTCTATTTCTCTGTACCAAATAACAATGCATGAACTTGTAAACGCTTTGCTTAATTTTACTCAAAAATATGACATGGGTATTCTTTCATTTATTTATTTATTTATTCATTCATTCTCTTCTAAAAGATCATTTATGTTATGTCACAAAGAATTAAAAAACTGATTAACTGATTGGTTTGGATAACAAATTTACAAAGAGATGGATCGGTCAAAGAGGCTGTGCAGTAAGCATCAAGATCCCTACACTTAAATCCTATGGATTTCACTAACTGGGGATAGCTGAAATTGGGAGTTTCTTTGGTGAAATTAACCTGTTTGGAACATCTAAAACAATTAATTTGAGATAAAGGCAGATTAATCAGCCTGAGTACATTAAGCAACATTAAAAAACTGCTTTTCCATTTACAAACATGTTCTGATATTGGGGGGATGCATTTCAATTGATGTAACCATCCTTATAAATAAATGTCGCTTTTCCTATTATGTGTGACTCTGTGGGCACTATATAAAATGCTTAATGATTTTCACACAATAACTTCAAAAATCTCTCTTCAATATTTGGATACATACACAAAACACCAACACAAAATTTATCAAAGTCCCCCCCCCCACCATGCAACATTATCCACACTGAAATATGTGGACACTAGACACTAACCTTCTTTTGTGGTTGCTGTGGGGGTCGTCCACGAGGTCGGTAAACAGGGATGAACTTTTCAGCAGCTGTCTGGACTCGTCGGATATCAAAATCTTGGTCCACACGGCTCACAGTCTGTAATCTATCCCAAAATCTAACTCAGATTCACACATCCTCAGAGAGATATCACAATTTAATAGTTTTTTCTGTTTAACTCTTTGTTGTTTCTAACATAGTACAGTGTCTTCAAAGAAATATGAGACTCATTGAAGAAACGATTCTTTTTCCTTCCATACAAGAATGGTGCACAGCTTCTGCAAAAAATGTTCATTTGAATAGCGATTAAGAGCTTGGACATTATGTAACAAGAGGAAAAGAATTTGCAAGATATGACAATGAACATACTCCACCAAATTATTGCTTTGCTAGTTTGGTGGGACTAAGTCCCTTGTACTGCAGCCACTTCTGCCCTACTGTACCAGCCCAAGATGATAGGTGAGGGTGACTGTGGAGCAATTGGTGGAATGAAGATTGGCAGGGGAAACCGAAGTACTCCACCAAATACATGTATGACAAAACTGGAAGTCAAAGCCACATACAGAAGCAGAAGACTGAAAGTGCTTATGGATAATACAGTCATGGTCATTCAAGGAAAATATAACATCTGATCCTGAGGAACTGGACGACTGGTTCTGGACCCATAAGGGATAGTTCCATTTGGATGGGTACATTACTTTTCAAAATTCTTTAATGGTCATTCAATACTCTTCATGAGCTCCATGAAACATTTTTGCATTGTCAGACAGTACTAGTATGGTGTGCAATGTTGCAAAAGTCTCTATATTACCTTTCTCAGACAATAATGTGAATCATTTAAGATTAATCTCCTTGAATATGTCACAGAACAGTTTAGAGGATAGGTACCAATGCTCCAGAGGAACCTCCAGCCTTCATTTTCAGACCCTATCACACAACATGACACCCACCCCAGAATACTGTAATCTGACCATTCATCACTGAAAGAACCTGAAATTTCAATAGGCATTATGATACATCTGCATAAACATGTAAGGAAACTCTCTCCAGACACTCATTATTTCACCACAACAGTGTGTTTCTGCACATCTCCGATACATCTTTGGGTTTTTGACGTCTGTGTTTCATATGCAGCTGATACAACGGGATTATGACTACCACAAAGTCCACACCTTAGCCTAACAGATATAATTTCATGGGGAATATCAAGTAATACAGGATATCCAAATCACTCTCATATTCTGAAAGAAATTCAGAACGAAGTAAATACCATATCAATAGACACATTACAAGTGTTATATTACATGATTCCACAGCTCATGGTTAGAATATAGCTTCTAACCACAGAGACATGGATTCAATCCCATAACAATCAGTGTGGGATTTATGGTGGAAACACTGACAGCAGGGCAGAATTTTGTTCAAGCACTTTGGTTTTCCAACCAATTTTCAATCCACCAACACTCCACACCAATCTCATATAGGGGCTGATACAACAGACCCACTTGAGGCCACAGTATCAAGGAAATCAGTATCACTCGTCACATAAGGAATATAATGGCCACCGTTTTCAGTAATTTCTCTGCAACAGTCTACTCTATACACTGTCATCTCTTCTTGAATGCACAATGTAACATATACAATTAAATATTCCCTGCAGCACAAAACACACTAAAGTACATCATATAAAGGAATTTATCAATACAAGAAAATTACATTTATATGCACAGTAGGAACAGCCTGTCATTTGAGGTAATTAAAAATTGTTGGTCATAAATTTCAAACCATCAGGTAATAAAATTGGCAATGAATGTGTTAATTAAGCACACAGAGAACTCTAGCCAATTCTGTTTCACACATTAAATATCCTCTCACTCGACATGGAACCAACATTTCCCATCAGAAAAATCCCAAATAAACTCACCTCTGTTCTTCACTTGTAACATATAAGTCATCAGGTTTGTGGTACATATTGTGGTTGTCATATGCTCGCTCATTGTAAAACAGCGCATCACAGGTTGTGCATTTGATCAAGTCCCTAAAATCATAAAACCTCTTTCACAATCAGATCCAATGTAAAGTACTAGCTCCACAGACACCATTATCACAATATTAGAAAATATATACACAATCATTAAACAATTAACAAAAATATGCAAATGTTTTTTGCACCTGAAGAATTACATAAATAACTACACAATAACTACACCAGTAAATAAGAATCAGGGATGAGGTTCCCACTGTCATAATGGAGAACAAGTCTGTGCCTTATTTTGTAATGACAACATATGACTGCAAACACATCAAGCAATACAAATTCAACACTTAAAAAGTAGGCTTAATTCTAATGTAATTTAACTTTGAAAGTGCTGTGTCCCCAATTTAACGGATATTCAGTCATCGGCCACTTTCTGGAATTAGAGAGTGACATGCACCCCCACTGAAAAAAATGTCTCATATAGTAACCTGATCCTAGCACATAAACTTTAAACAGTAGCCCACAATAATCCACGATTTGCAGTTACGTATGTAGTACCAGTGGTTTTACTGACATATAATTAATTATTAACTCACTCGGGGACTTCCTTTTGTTCCTCCTCTGTGTGCTGACGTTCTAGGTGCTTCTGTAGGTTGAACTTCACAATGTATTCATAACCACACAGGTGACAGTAGTACACTGATTGGGCTTCACCTGCATTGTTCACCTTAATTTTTTTGGATGGTGGTGCAGTAGCAACAGGCTTGAACAATGCGACAATCCTGAAAACAGTTCAAACTTTTTGTTAATATTGACATAAACTGTGTCACGAAAGCACATAAAAGTACTTAAGAACAAGACTACAAATAAATGTAAATATGGAATAGAGTATTTGTTCCACTGCCTGGCTTTCTTCAATCCCCTATAAAGAAGGGACAATTCAATACAATCCCCTTTACTTTTACTTCAAATCTATCACTGTGGCTTCTACACTTAACAGATAAAAATTCATAAGCCCTGAAATCCTGAACCTGCAGCTTAGGCAAAGTAGGCATATTTTAACCTAACATATTCAGCACTAGCCTCCGGTTCTTAATGTGAGTAGTTCTGGAAAGAAGTATACTTTTTGCCAATGCTGGCAGTTCTTTATCTACCAGTTCTTATATCTATCCCTTTGGACACTTGCATTTTGTATTTAAAAATGGCAGATGTGCTAGATGTAGACCATCAATTCAATATTTTTATAGTCAATCTCATCAATCTACCAGCACAAAAATATAATAAACACTGCATATCTGCTTACAATAGTTTGGAGTATGCTATACTTAGGCCATGGAAAGAAGTCCCATGAATAATCCACATGCATTTCCCTCAAGCTGTTCTAACTTCTCCCCCTGTGTACTTCCCTATAATCCTCTTCACTCATCTGGTCATTGTTTACAGGGGATTCTGACCATGATAACCATGTGACAGCTTTCATCAGTGACAGGTGCTTTGGATTGACTGACATAAGCCAGCGGGAGAGGGAGGGAAATACAAGAGTAGAGAGAGAGTGGGTACCCATGACTGCTGTCATGCCCACCAACCACGAAACTTCTTTCCCTGGCTCAGAACAGAAGAACCTCTTATATTACGGGAACTGCATTCATGTCGAGGCTCCTAAGGAGAGTTCTAATAATAAAAGGAAAACACAATTACTAAAGGAAATGTATAACTTCTGTCTCAATGAGTAAACTATGACCTCATGATAGAAGGAACATATACACTGTTACACGACACTGGTTCTGATATCACAAAACTAATAAAGAATGAAAGATTTTATTCATGTAAAAACACACTCGACATTCAACATCATTTCACAAAAACAAATCCACAATTGCTGCCAGTGTTTCTTTAGTGATGTTTTCTCCAGCAGCTGTGATATCTATTTTCAGTTCAACTTACTATGGACTATCACTAATCACCATGTGTAACTGGGCACTAAATCCATTAATTTCAGAGCAACTCCCATATCTTTCTTACGACCCTCTACATTAGAGTCTCATGCAGGAAAACATAAATTGAAAACTTCATTTTATATGAGTGGCACCATGGGAAATAAATTCAGACAACCCTCAGTTTTTTCTTAATACTGGACACAGTACAGAACCACTATGCTATCCTGGAAAAAGAAACATCACAAAGATCCTGCAAGTATTTATTTCTGCAAAATCTGGAGCTGCTGACCTTCATATGGTTTTAGTATTCAAATGAAGTACGGTGTAGAAGAGTTCTTTAATGATTAGTATTCCTCCACTGACTACATAACAATCTTCCACTTAAACAGGGATATGAAAACTGGTCCCACACTAAAATATTTTGCTCATCATCATCTCCCCTCACTGTATTATTTAGGTGCATCAAGGAACAGCATCTTCTGTGTCATGAGAAAAAATTAATGTTGGACACAAAAGCAAAAGAAATGGCCAAAGATAAAAACATAATTTTTTTTTCATTCAGGATAAGTTCAAAGTCCTGCGTTCCCTTCTCCTTCCCCTCCAGTTTGTAAAACAAGAAAACTAAAGTATGACATTTATTCTTTCAAACCAAGTAACAAATACACAAAACTGATTCACTTGCAATTCATACTTATTTCACCATGATAAAATTCAATGATGACTCTGTTTTCCTTTGAGTGTATTTCTTGACTGCTGCCCCATGTTCTCCCCTTGTTGAACAGTTTCAAGTTACTATTTCATCTTGGTTTATTTAAAGACACTTTCATTTTCAAAGATTATGAAGCATTAAACCATAGGATGATTATTCAAAAATGAATTGGAAAAGTTGAGGAAGGTAGTAGTTGTGGCATAATTTAAAGTACTACACCAGCACTTAATGGATGTACTAAGGCAACCCATGAGAAACCTCAGTCATGACAGCTTGTCTCTGGGCTGACATTTGAAAACTGGATCTCCACAACATGACAAATGAGTCCTAACCACTTGCAGTGGTTGTCCAGCTACTGCTAAATGTTCTTTAGTCAGTTCAACACAGCAACTGGATCACTGCTGAAGCCTACGTACCTCTTGTGTGTTGACTTGGAATGATAGTCTTCGGCTTCCTTCGTGTAGAAAACAACACCACAGTCTCCACAAGGAAATAACTCACCGGGAGCATCATCAGAATGTTCTGCTGCAACATGCTTATCCCGGTTGATTTTAAGCGGAAACTGCATGCCACAATGTGGGCAAAAGTGTTTTGCTGCACTTTCTGGATGTTTACGAAACTTGTGTTGAATTGCAACTGTTACATTGTCAAATGCCTGAAATAATATACAGAAATTGTAGTATTATTCAGACTATATTAGATACCGATACACGCTTACTTACCAATTATAGGATAATACAGCAAATAATTCCACAAAAACTTTGTTTAGTCACACAACATACTGCACTTTCACATAGTATGTGTGGCTATAGATGGGTTTGGGATTGGTGACTCAATCTATTGACCACTTTTACAAACATGACTGGTGGCTACACTACAGATCACTGAAATACACAGGCTAGTGTCCTCAGTCTATTACAGTCTCCAATAGCTGTTTCCTGGCCACAGATTTTAACACAGGAACTATACAGCCTCACTGAATTACACATTCCAAATATCACACATAAAGTCTTCTCATCATAGCCGCACTCTTGCAACAAACTCTTTTCTTCACAGGTTCCCATGTAGAACTTAACTATCAACTAACTTTGTCCCGTGCTTGTAACATCTCTGCATGGGCCACATAGAAAACACTGTTCATCTATTGTTATGATAGTGTTCACTGCTGCGGGAATGTGTTTACAGAGCCGTTGCCCAGAAACAGCAACAGCAGGGACCACAGAAACTACCGTTTTCTATTGTTCTGTGCATGTTGCAGGTGTTACCCAGGAATGGCCGCTGTTTACAGTCACTGCTTAGCAATGGGTCTATATGTCACAGTATCAAGCCAGTCTTTGGGATGTAGCCATACACATGTAGGCAAAGTGGGATTGCATTCAGTTATTTCAGTTTGATATTTTCAGTAGAACTATATGGATGTAAGAGATAGGAAATAACGGAAGAGTGAAGAATTTGCATAATAAAGAGCTTCTAAATATTTCTCTCAACTAAAAATTATTAGGGTGAGGAAATTAAAAGGAATGGAATGGCAAAGAATGTCGCACACATCGCAAAAATTGGGAGAAGTGCATACAGTGTTTTCATCAGAAGAACTGAAAGGAAGATATTCTTAACCTAGACACAGATGGAAGGATAATATTTAGACAAATCTTAAACAGGTTGCAAGGATGTGGACTGATTCATCTAGCTTATGAAAGGGTCCAGTGGCAGTTTCTTTGCAACATGGTAATGAACCTTCATACTCCATAAGAGTCAGGGAACTTGTTAGTGACCATCAGGCTTCTAAAAAGGAATCTACTCTTTGGAATTTGTTAGTTTTAAGTAAAGTATTCAAAACTAAGATTCTTTTTCCTGACATTTAATATGTCATGTGTATTCATTTGGCCCACAGATTCTATTGACATTTCCTTTTGTTGTGCTCTTCTTTGATAAAGAAATGTATTATATGTAATATGTTGTTCATTTCTTCACCACTAGAATAGTCTAAGCAAATTAAGTAAAAGAGGAACTGAATGGAACATACAGACTTCTGATTCATGCTGGTGATGATAATTTGTTGAGTCAAAACAAACACCATACAAACAAAAGGAAGCCAAATCCAATTCCAAAGTAACTGGCCTAGAAATAAATGCATAGGAAACCAAGTATATGCCCCTGTCTCATCAAAATATAGCAAGAGCCATCAGTCAGTTGCAGCCATGAGTACCTGTGAGATGGCAGCCAGCAAGCGACAGAGCAGAAGAATCTCCTTTGTTGGAAATTGTTACCTAGCAACACCTAGTGAAGACATAGAAGAATTTATGTGTGCTGCAGCAAAGTGATTTGTAAAGTGTGCAGATCCATAAAATTGTCATATTTACCTGTAGTTACAACAGTACAACAAATCCAATTACCGATCCAAACCCTGTGTTAGTCACTAAAACAAGACAACTGATGTCAGAAGTGGGATGCATTGGACTGGTTGGGACTAATTGGATTAAATGAACTACTGGACTGAAGACAGCATTAGATAGTTACATCACCATACTACAAAAATGGAATAATGCTGGATAGCTTCCAGGCTGAAATCAGAGCACAGATGAAAGCCCCTCAAGAAGAAATGAACATCTTGATGGATGCCAACCTAATAAAGATGAAGGCCTGCCTAGAAGTTGCAGAAAACTGTCTAGGAAAGATGAAGGTCATGATAAGGTCTGGGCAGAATCAAATGGGAGCCAAAATTATGACTGGCCTTAAATAAATGAAGGTCACAGTCAGAAGCCAATCAAGAGAAGATGCCACTGTGGAGCACTATGAAGGGTACCATGCACAGGCTTACCACTCTACAGGACCAGGCTCCTGATGTTCTGCATAGAAACCCTAAAGGAGCAACATACAAGGAGACTGTCAAGGACCTTGAGGAGCAATTTGGTGACCATCAACTGGCCGTAGGGTACTGCAGTCAACTGAAAACAAGGACTCAAGTTGATGGTGAACCCTTGCAGGAGCATGCTACTGCTGACTCACCATGCCTTTCCTGCATTACACAAGGACCACATTCATAGGGACTCACACAATGCATTCAGCAACAGGATAAGAAACAGGCATGAAACAGAAGTTAAGTTTTTAAACTTTTTCAGTTGATTACTTAATGACACTGTCACTATCATGACCATATAGCACTGAGAGTTGCTTGCATTCAAAGTTAAAAGGCAAAACTAAAACACAATGTCCAATTCTTGGGCTCATCATAGGCACGTAGTAGCAGAAAGCACTGCTTGTTAAAGAGGTCATGTGTGATGATTACAAATACTGAATCAAGGCAGAGGGAGTCAGAAGAAGACATGATCTGTTCTGTGTACTAACTCAGGATTCACCTGACACTATCGAGGCGGGGGGGGGGGGGGAGGGGAAAATAAAAAATATAT